CAAATGTCACTTTTTCACACAATTTAACAATTGCCCTTTGATCATCACTCTTGCCTGCCCTAATAGTATAGAGAATATCAATTTTCTAAATTGTTTTCCCTTTTTGACACTTTATAATAGCCAGACCTGTCCATCACTCCCTCACAATGTCAGGTTATTCTGTACAAAACCAATGTGGGAGTGTCAGCTTGATGCTTGAAGTGTCATAGGTATGACTAATTCATTGCAGTGCAAATGAATCTGCTTTTCCTATCACAGGGGAGAGCAGCCATGAATTGTATTTTCAGTGCACGTTTCAAGGCAGCACGACTGTTCTCCGTTCAGAGAGCATGTTCTAACATTTACTCTCTCTTTAAAACAGGCCTTTTTGGGTGCCTGGGTAAGGGGATGACGTGGTCGGGGATCCAAGATGTGAGGAGATATTCTGAGCATTCACTGGGAACCAACTTTAGCAGGCTGTCCTAATTTTAAACAAAGCCGTTTCCTTTCTCCCCCTGTCTTCGAGAGATGTGTCTGCCCTTTTTGTCTTCCTCCCTTAGGATCAAGAAAACCAGGTCTTCTATTCCTGCTGCATTTATATCTTTCTTAAAGACCCCTGACAGAGAAAAAAAATCACTGCTATTTTAGCCCCACTGAGTAAAATCATGATCAATTTCTTAAATCTACCCTTCCTTTCAATATCACTTCACTGACATGAAAAAGGACCATCAAATCGGACGTCATTCGGGGTCTGCATTTTCGTTGCCATTCCCTGGGAATAGCCAACCTCAATGCATACATTTAACTTCAAACTGGACTAAATAATCAATTATTCCTGGAAAATGACTCATATTGGCTGAGGATGAAGTGGTGGAAGAGGAAAATACTGTGCAGCTCTTTCACAGTCAGTCTCCTTTGATGCCATACTCTTAGACAAAAGTTTATAGTATAAAAGTAGCTATAAAAATAGCTGATGTAAATATAGGCAATACTGTTTAGAAAACATATTTCAAATTGAATATTTCAAAAGTATACATTAAACCATTATTTACTCTACATCACATAATGTATTTTTCAAGATGTCACAGAGAAGCATATCAATGTATTTCATTAGATGAGAGGAAATCATCTCTTGAAAGTTGCTTTAGCAACGTGACTGTCTTCTCATTTTTCTTTCAAAACTTTGTGAACTGGTGTATTGTGTTCTTTCTATAATGTAAAAGATATAAAACTGAGTGGCACAAAGAGCGGTAGAAGAGTCTGGAATCACCACACCTGTGGTATGTAGTCAAATAAGGGCTTTACCCTCTGTTATCATGCCAACCAACTGTTCTTTCCTTCTGTCAAACAAAATTTGCATTCTGTGTTACAGTAGCATAATCTGCATCTGGATGGATCTGAGAGGATTACTGTAACAATGGACTTTCCTTCAAACCCACCTAGCAATGTTTCATTAATGCAAAGAACTGAAATGGGATTGTGTCCTAAGTGGAGATCTGACAGATATAGGTTACACCATAAGCTGGGGAAGGCATCAGGACATGTGTTCACATAGAGAACATATTGGAGATCTTTATAGGTTTTATTTTGTGTTAGCCATTTCACTGCAGTGTCAGTGCTAAATCCTGGAGAAGTAGATGACAGGTCGTAGTTTTCTTTTTTTTCATGTTTCCCTGGTACAATGTTGTATGGTCACAAAAGGCAGTTAACCTCTCTGTGAACAATGATCTGGAGTGTTGGATATCTATTATTCCCGCTTCCAACACACTCTCTTGTTCATGTGGCAGTGCTAGGGTCTCACATGTTTCAATGTCACATGTCGTTATCTCTTCAAACCAGAAAGATATTGCACATTTTTTAACCTACAGTTAAAATATGGAAGAACCAATACTGTATACCAGTCCATTTATGGCACATCTGGCATAAGTCACTTGGGTAAGGACAAGTAGACCTACAATATCCTTAGCTATGCTAACTGTCCTTGTCCTAATTGCACTTCTTTTCATTTAATAGATGTTAAGAGTTTTCTGGAGAAGGGATGAAAATTGGTAATTGTTATACTCTAATCCGATGACCTGCAGGTCAGTCTGTGATTAAGTCTACAAAAACCGTCAAAGCTTCAAATACGGACATCTTTGACACAAGAAAATTGTTAATAATTCTAATGCTCACTTGAGAGGGGATGTACAATGTATGATGTATAATGAGGTTCATTATGACAAAGACAGCTGAGAAGTAAACACACGGAGGAAAGAAATATATAGTGGTCAGTTATTGACAGATACATTAGGTGCCATGCGTAAAGGATTGAATGAAATTGCATATATTGAAAATAATGGCTCTTGTTCATTTTTAAACTAAATCTAAAATAGGTCATGATTTGTCAATCCCCTGGTTACTTACTGGAAATCAGTAGTCTCAAGAATCAGTAGTCATATGTTTTAACAAGGAAAGTAGGTTGTAGCTTAACTCATCAGTTCTGTTTCTCCCATTATGGAAAAGCCAGTTCTGTGATACTAGTATCCCATGATTTCTTCCTGCCTGGGTGATGTATTCTCTGGTAAACTGACACTCGCATTCTGTATTCTCTTTGTTATTGGGGAAGTTACCCTGTGGCCAAAGAGGCAGGGGAAATCCCTCCACTGCATCAGATCTAGTACTGCCTTTAACTTTAAGGCTAAACATGCCATGCTTTGTATATCTGAGTGTTGGAAACATAATTTGTAGATAAAGCATAAGTTAAAGATAAAAGTTAAAGATTAAAGATAAGTAGTGAGATATAAACCCAAGTTTCCTGAATGTATTAACAGAACACAGTTACTTCAATAGATTCAATCAGAAGTTGTTAATTCACTTCCCACTAAAGGCTGAGGCACTTAGGGACTTAACTGTTTAGATGATTTGGCTTTGGCAAATATCTCACACGTGTGTGTGTGTGTGTGTGTGTGTGTGTGTGTGTGTGTGTGTGTGTGTGTGTGTGTGTGTGTGTGTGTGTGTGTGTGTGTGTGTGTGTGTGTGTGTGTGTTTGTGTGTATGTGGGGTGGAGGGGTGTTGGCGGATTTAGGTTTTACTTAAATAACACCTTCAAAGACACCTAACAGACAATGAATTAAATGAACATATTACATGTATCAAACATTACATTTATTTTGCAATGGCAGTAGCAGTGTGGTGCACAACCAGATCCTCTGAGGATCAGTTTCAAATACCAATAGATTTTGTTTTATTTTATTTTCCCTAGGGGACTTAATATTAATGTCAAGATCCTCTTAGATATACATATAAAATGACAAATGTGAGGTAAACTACTGTTCATTCTCCTTAGAACAGCCCTTCTGCTTTTGAAAAAGCAATATACAGTGGGAAATGTTGATACTAGATAGAAAGAGCAGCACAGTGGGTAAAAGTAATAGAAAAATGTCTGACAGTGTAACTTAATTATTCAGACATAGGACCGCCTACATGTAGCAGGGAGTGCAGAAACTGAGGAGTTCAGAGACAAGAGCCTAGGCTTCCCACCCATCTTTCTAATCTCTCTTTGCAATTAATGGAATTCTCCGGCAACTTCCTGTCCTGCCATATCTGTCGCAGTCCGCTTCATTATTTAAAGCCATCCCGAGGCTCTAAAGAGGTTTTTAAAATTGATTGCTGGTTTGAGAGGCTCTAGAGAAAGGCTCTGGGGAAATACTGGGGAAATACGCTATTATAAGCTCACTGATATTTGGTATTCAGCTGTATGGCTTTCAAAATATACCTAGAGTTGCATATTCATTAGATTGACTCAAATACAGAGTCAATCAAATGCACATTCACTATTAAAAAGTGTTACTATGAAAGTCATAAACAAGGCTGCAATTTGTCCTCCTCTGAGAAATGTGTGGTTGGATCTTCAACATCACTACCGAAGGGGCTGTCACATAGATGATGTCAGAGAGCTGATGGAGGTACAATTCTGACCTATGAAATTTTAACGATTTACTCCCTTTGCATAAATAAAGCTCTTGTAAACTGTAGAGCTGCTCGTAGAGCTCTCACTCGAACACACCAACGACGGAAGTGACCGAGTGGCGAAGGAGATGCATACATGCCTGTGGCCTGCGCTTGACCTAAAGTGGCACTAGTTGTATAGGGGGAGGGACTACGGAGTATACCAACAGCATATTGATTCTATGAGTGCGTAATTAGCAGTTACCTTACCGTACAGTGATCAGCTGCAGTGAGTAAGACGGACGATGAGCATCAAGTTACGATAAATGAATTTATTGTTACAATGTATGGTGATCCAAAATAATAAACAGTAGACAATGCAATGAAAAAACTGAATGAATTGGCTACACGCAAAAGTGCGCAGGAGGTCGTGCTAACAAGTCTCCCCGAACTATGCCAGTTTCCCCTATATACCTGAACATCAAATGTGGTATTTGGACTTTGGCGCCATGACCAAATATGATAATTTCTGAAAACAACAGTGTAGTCACGATTCAGCAATTACAAATACCGTCGTAACCAGGGGTGTAGGAGGGGGAATCAGCGGGTGAAGAATGCGAAGATAAGTGCATTCCTCACTGTCCACTTTTGTGCCACCTATCACAATCTTTATTATGAACCTGTCATACCTCCCTGCTACATACATCATTGACATGCATGTGAAATTAGCTTTCAAATGACACCAAACATGACTATGTTTCACATGAGAATGGCCATATTCTATGCTTTTGCCAAGAGATGAACAGAGTCCTGAGTAGGGCTGTGCTGTAGGTTGCCTGGCAGCAGACAGAGTCCAGAGTCCAGGATGGAGCTGCCCTTAGCGTGACCTGCTGACCAGAGATTAGCGACATGGGTTGGATTGCCGCTACCCTCCGGTTGAGTTGCTTAATAGTCATGTTTGGTGGGTGTTGCAAGGTAACTGAGGTATCCAGATATCTATTGCACCGTCCTGACCTCCTGCGAGCCCAGAGGTAAATACTTGCACTCCTTTGTGGGGTTTGCAGCAAATTGCCCTACAAAACATATTACGGGGTGGCAGTGTAGCATAGTGGTTAAGGCACAGGACTTGTAATCGAAAGGTTGCTAGTTCAATTCCCCACTGGACCACTGCTGCTGTACCCTTGGGCAAGGTTCCTAACCCATAATTGCCTCAGTAAATATCCAGCTGTTTAAATGGATAACATTGTAAAATCAATTGTAACCAATGTAAGTTGCCCTGCATAAGAGTGTCTGCTAAATGCCAATAATGTAATGTAATTACAAAGCTCAGTAATATTACATTCCAACATCCTGAAGGTATTTAAGGCATCAAAATAAATATATTCATTGCTAAACATTTCATGACACCATATTAGCACTCAGAGTAGTTCTTTGAAAAACTTAAACCAAGGGAAAAATAAAGACATGCCCATCAACTTGGCATGTGCATAGTCTGTCAGACCACTTTGCCTGAGTTAACATATCAATTGCTTATTCTCCATTTACATATTAATTACATTTAAATTAATGTCATGTACCATTAGTTACATATTTTCTATCATTAGTGTAAGATCAAGAATCAACACTTTTTGAAAATGATGCAATCTACTCATTGACTTACTGTATGATAGCCCAGCTCCTTTAAAAAGGTTATATATAATCTGCACACAGGACATTTGGACTTCAGAAAAACCTCCTTCACAATGTACAACAAGGTAAATGTACATATATCTAAATAATCTGAGAGAACTACTTTTAGATTCATGGATGTTCATCGTCACTATAAGACTTCTTGCTAAACTCAAAACAAAAAAGCCTTGTTAACTGCAACCTTTCCCTTTGAGTTAATGGCTGTCATGTTGGGATCAATAAGTGAAATCTTAGGTCTGAGCTCCCTGCGTTTATTACCTTTTTCTCTCTCAGGAAAAGCTTGCCATCTTATTTTATTCTTTGCCATTCTCAGCAAAGCGACTGTGAGTCCAGCCCCAATGCTCTTTGGACATCATCAAAGCCAATAATCCCAAGGAGCTGTTTCAAAGTTTGTGGGTAAAGTTAAAGCTTCTTACATTATGAATACATACACTTATAAATGTTTGTTTAAGAAAAAATGAAATACATCACTTTTCAGTGTGTACTTTGCCTGAGGATATTATATGAAAGTTGTCTATACATACACAAACATCTTTTTTAGATTGGGTCTTTTTCCTCATTCTACCTAATATTAGGCTAAACTTGTACTTTAGAAACCATAACAAAGAATGCCAGCCAAAACCTGCCTGCTGCACCACACCCTATCAGCATCTGAAAGCATCAACATATAACATTGAAGCATCTGAATTACAAGCTCATTGTACTTTTACCTATGGCACTAGCTAGCAGCAATGTGGTGTAGTGGCACAAAATACAGCTCTTATCCAAAGGCTACTAGTTCAGTTCCTAGCTGATACACTGTTGTTGTAATCTTGAAAAAATTTAACTTTTTTATTATCACTTTTTCCATGCAGTTTTAGTATTTGAATGCATATGCATGTATACTTCATTTGAAAGCATATTATACATGGTCATATTCAGATATCGACAGCATTAAAACAAAAAGTACATTTTTATACCCTGTTTTTATCCAAAATTAGAACTAACAATGTCTGGGATACAGGAAGCATCATCTGGTCAGAGCAAGTGTCCTCAGTGACTAACCTCACAAACAAATTATTGGTGAATAATTGATTAATAATTCAAACTACAACCCAGTAATGGGTCAAGGCTTCCAATAACCATGTGACAGAAGACAATTTCCATTAGAGTGTTTATTTGTTTATGCAGCAATCTCAAAATGAATAAAAAAAGAAGCAATATTTCCTTGAATTTGTGAATATGTCAAATTGACTTTGCCAGTTTGTACATGTTGCTGAAATTGTAGGCAAAAAACACACCCTCAGATGGGCAAAAATCTTTCAGCCAACTTCAATTTATTTGCAGTTACTGCAAAGTGTTATAATTTAAAAGAGGATTCAATTTCCTAAAAATTGGACACACCTGAAGTTTAATATGATGCATGGCTTGCTCCTTTCCTTTTGGCCACCCTAAATCTCTCATATGCTATGATGGTTGCTGCAGGGTTTGTGCGGAGCATACACAGAACATTATCACAATGTCTGGAGTGCTGGAGTCTGCTTGCTAGTGGACTCGAAGAGTGATGGATGGCAGGTCAAAGCCATGGTGAGTCATTATCTATAATCCACTGTGGAATGCATTAAGAGTCACATGGCTTGCTAATGGTACACTGTGGCCACTGAAATGCAGTGTCTGGGTGAAATCCATCCTTCCTGTTTGGTGAACTGGGAACATAACCTCAGCATGAGTCCTCCTTTTGGGACGCTACACTGCCCCCTGATTTAAGGCACAAAAAGTACCTTACATGGGACATTATCTCTACGATCAATGACCAATGGTGAGATGACCACTTCCAGAACAGGCTACCTACCATCAGCTTATTTCAGCTTTACAGCAGAATAAATTGATACTTGACCACTTCTTCACAGTGCCCCATCACGTTCATTCATTTTGCTTACATTCTGCATAATATTGCATAATATATTTCTAACCTGAGGAAAAAGAAAAGCAGAGATTCAATGAGTAATTGAGATAGACAGCAAAGGAGAACAACTAACAAAAGTAAAGGGAAAGTAAAGGGCAAAACGAGTAAAGGGAAATGACATAACTGATGATGATAGGTCAATAGAATTCTGAAACATACTGCTCAGTTAGCCTTTACTCATTTTCTCTCGGTAATTATTTTCTTTTCCCTGATATTAGGTAATGGCTTTTAAGGTTCCCATTCCTGATGCTTTTTCAGTCAGGCTCTCAGTGATTTTCTCTCCATAAAATTACATAGCACAGCGACGTTATCTGTGCGAAATATACAACCTCTTTCCCTCTGGTGTTTTGTAAAATTGTCACCTTTCATGCAATGATGTGAACCCTTCTCTTGTTACATATTATACAGAAGGATACTTGCAAAGGATGTTAGTCTTCAGCATAAGGAAGTTCATAATCTTTTTGACATAATATTGTGGTAATAAATTTAAAAATTGCATCCATGTGTGAGGGTACTGGGTATCCTAATTATTAATGTCTTTATTTTTCCACTGATTTACCTGAAAAAAATGTACATTTGACCTCTGTCATGCCTTTTATTGCTGCTCCATTTACTGCCATTCTGTTGTAGCTGGAGATTAAGGTTGTCTTGCACGGTGTACTCACAGTGTATGGATAACTATGTGCTATCTTAAAAAATAGGTCAAATAAGAGGTTGTTTTGTGTGCATTAATGTATATTTGAAAGGCACCCAGACTTTCTTCTCTGAATTTCAGAATGGGTGGAGGAGGTGACTGGGCGGGGTGTAACATTTAGGTTTAGATGACCTTGCTTGAGATGCTTAAATAATCATGTAATTTACATTAGCAGTGTATCGGTTATACATTTGTTATCTGTATAATGGCAAATTGTAAGTAGCTCACCACAAACAATGTATTGTTTAACATGGATATCATCTGTAAAAAGAAAGCAATGAACCCTAGTAAAAGTGTCTTGTTGCAATAACCAAGCCCACACTAAGTCAATGGTGCCTACCAAGCTTATTTGTAATCATTTGGTACATCCTTTCTTTGAAACTCTGGGTTTTACTTCCTCAGGAAACAAACCTAGGGGCCTTTAAAGTATCCTTCTCATCCTGAACAGATTGCACTCCATATGCATCATAGGGGTTTCAAGCCAGTATTCTGATGTTATATTACATCCATCATGCCTTTTAAAATGACACATATCACCCAATTTACATTGCAACACCTGTTTTATGTGGCCACAGAAAATAAATTTAAGACTGGATCTGTTGGGAAAGTTGGAAGAAACTGGGAGTCCCATATTTTTGCATTAAAGATATTAATCCTGAAGCTATTTGATTATTAACGGAAGCTGTGTCAATATTTTCCATTAGTACCATGATTTTTATAAGGGCTTTGCCCTGAAGATATACAAATCCTTGCATTTGCTGTTAAGACTTACACTATATGGACAAAAGTATTTGGCCACACCTGTTAATTATTGAATTCAGGTGTTTCAATCAGACCCATTGCCACAGGTGTATAAAATCAAGCACCTAGCCATGCAGTCTCCATTTGCGAACATTTGTGATACAAAATAGGTCGTTCTGAAGAGCTCAGTGACTTCAAGTGTGGTACTGTGAGAGGATGCCACTTTTGCAATAAGACGGTTCATGAAATTTCATCCCTGCTGGATATTCCACGGTCAACTGTAAGTGATATTATTAGAAAGTGGAAGTGTTTAGGAACAACAGCAACTCAGCCATGAAGCGGAAGACCACGTAAAATCACAGAGCGGGGTCAACGACTGCTAAGACGCATGGTGCGTGAAAGTCGCCAACGCTCTGCTGATTCCATAGCTGAAGAGTTCCGAGCTTCCACTGGCATTAAGGTAAGCACAAAAACTGTGCGGCGGGAGCTTCATGGAATGGGTTTCCATGGCCGAGCAGGTGCATGCAAGCCTCACATCACCAAGTCCAATGCCAAGCGTCGGATGGAGTGGTGTAAAGCACACCGACACTGGACTGTGGAGCAGTGGAAACGTGTTCTGTTGAGTGACGAATCACGCTTCTCTGTTTGGCAGTCAGATGGGCGAGTCTGGGTTTGGCGGATGCCGGTAGAACGTTACCTGCCTGACTGCATTGTGCCAACTGTGAAGTTTGGTGGAGGAGGGATAATGGTATGGGGCTGTTTTTCAGGGTTTGGGCTAGGCCCCTTATCTCCAGTGAAGGGCAATCTTAATGCTTCAGCATACCAAGACATTTTGAACAATGCTATGCTTCCAACTTTGTGGCAACAGTTTGGGGAAGGCCCTTTTCTATTCCAACATGACTGTGCCCCAGTGCACAAAGCAAGGACTATAAAGACATGGTTTGATGAGTTTGGTGTGGAAGAACTTGACTGGCCCACACAGAGCCCTGACCTCAACCCCATCGAGCACCTTTGGGATGAACTGGAACGGAGATTGCGAGCCAGGCCTTCTTGTCCAACATCAGTGCCTGACCTCATAAATGCTCTACAGAATGAATGGGCACA